GCGCACCGCAGCTTGGCCTGCTGCAGGTGGAAGTGGTCCTCCTGCTCCTCCCACGTCTTGAAGTGCTCGGCCTCCTTCTCCCGCTGCAGCATCTCCAGCTCCTGCTCCCGCATGGCCTTCTCCCGCTCCCGCTCCAGCCGCAGCTGCTTCACCTGCAGGCGCACGGGGAGGGCGGGGTGCTGCAGGCGGGCCTGGCTGGGGGTCTTGTGGGGCCTGCCCTGCACCCTCTGGGGCCACGGGGGACCCTGGGGTCCGGAGTGGGACTACAGCCCGGGCCCGGCCCCGGCCGTGGACGCGGACTGGCCAGGGAAGCCCGAGACCTCAGACGGACCGTAGGGCCGAGGAGCTTCTTTCTGCTGGAGACACGGCAGCCAGGAGCAGCCGAGACCACTCTGCCTTCTCAGACGAAGGAGGCGTCTGAGAGCAAGGCCCAGAAGTCTCGGGGCCCTCGGGGAGGCGGAGGGAGACGGCTTGTCGGAGGCGCAGCCCGCACCCCTGGATCCGACCGTGTCTGGAGCCAGCCTGCCCGGGGGTTTCTGTGTCCACCCGCCGGGTCGGTCCCTGGCTTAAGCCAGGGTGGGCCAGCCTTGGGCCCTCGCGAGGGAAGGCCCGGCCCGTGCAGGCCGGCCAGGGCAGCCCCACCTTCTGCAGCTCCAGGCGATTGTCCTCCTGGATCCTCTTGTTGCGCTCCTTCAGCTCCTTCTCCTCCAGGTGGCCGATCCCCTTCTTCTCCAGGGCCTGGAAGGGCCAAGCACATGCCCGCTGAGCAGGGGCGCCCCCGTCCCGCCCTCCCGGGCACCGCCCCGGGGTCCCCGGTGCCGCCCTCTCCGAGATCCAGACGCGGATCCGTCAGGCCGAGCGGCGGCTTTGCAGGGAAGGGGGTCCGGCCCCGAGGAGCGACGTGCCTGCGGCCACAGCGCCCCGACCTCCTCCGAAGACGCAGCCCCCTTGGCGTTCCCAGGACCAGCGTGACGGGGCCGCTTACAGCAGCCTCCGGCACGGGCAGCACCTGCAGTAACATGCAGCGGGCGGGGAGGTGGCCGCCCGCCCCGGGGGCTCCCGAGCGTCACTCACGGGAGCACCCCACCCGGGACCTGCCAGGCTGCCGCACGCAGATGCCAGGTGGGCCAGCTCGGGGTGCTCACG